TCAGACTCTTAAGAGCGGCCCTCAACACCCTTGTATATCTTGCTCCCCTGATTGCCTCGTTCAAAGTCAGTTCAAACTACCCAGGATTCCCTGAGAACATCATCTTCATCGTTTCTTACAGTACAATAATATTCCCCTACATTCATATGCTGTAATTTGTTCATTCCATAATTGTCCAAGAGGCAATCTAAGGCAGACCCCCACCTTAGATTTTATCCCTCTGCTCCCCTCCCCTCTCCTTCCATCTCCTCCCCTCTCTTCTCCTCTACTCTCCTCTTTTCTCCTTTCTTTTCCCCTCCTCTCTGAAGAGATTATTATATGATATATATAAATATCATGTCATATATACAAGTTGTGGCACATGATTGTAATGGAATATTATTGTGCTATAGAAATGATGAGAGATTCAGAAAAACCTGGAAAGTCTTATATGAACTGATTCAAAGTGAAGTGAGCAGAACCAGGATAACATTATATAAAGTAACAGCAATATTGTATGATGATCTCTCTCTCTCTCTCTCTCTCTCTCTCTCTCTCTCTCTCTCTCTCGCTCTCGCTCTCGCTGTCTCTCTCTCTCTTTAACCTCTGTTTATGGGGATTAAAACACACACACAAATGCGTACATACACTTGGAAACTGCTTTCTTTAGGCCTTTCCTAGATGTCTTGGTGGCTATTTAAGCTGCCAAGTTGCTGGGTTCAAATCTAGACCATCATGTTTTCAGATCTGATCCCTTTATTATTTTGATTCTGTGGGGCTAGTAAATGTACCAGCCATGGGATTGACCCTCAAGAAGAATTTTCTCCAGTCTTGAAATCCTTTCCCTGACTAAAGCCCTCCTTCCTGATGACCTATAGTTGTCATTTCTGGAAACAACCTCCCTCCCCTTCCCAACCTCCACACTGAGCCCTATCTTGTAACAAAGAAAAACAATTAAGAAAAACCACCAGACAGTGAACTTATCTGAAATGGTAGATGGCATTCTGTCCTAGCAGTCTACCTTTCCTGGTAGAAAGGAAAGGCAGAGACCTTTCCTGGTTACTTAAGGGTGAGTAAGTACCCTCTCTTCCCCAACCACATGGGCAATGGTGTCCAAACTTTGATGATTGGGTAACTTATCAGTAATTTCCTCCCCTGCTGTATATGTTGGTAGGGGTGTAGTGGGGGAAAGGCAGAGAACATTTTCTAGGTGATGGTTGGGGTTAGGTTATAGCTGCCCCAGTGGGCTGACCTCAGGGTCAGAAGTAGAAGAGCTGGGAGCTTGTGAAGCAGTAAGATGAGGTAGATCTGAGGGATGAGGTGCTGAGCTATAATGGGTGAAGGGTAGATGTGGTCGTGTTGGGAACAAAACCCTTGAATGGCTAGCATTAGCAGGACAGGATATGATCCGCTTGCCCACTCTGACTGCTTAGTCACACATCTCTTGAGGTTAAACCCCATCTCCCTTGGGATCATGCCCTAGTTAGCCCCCATTTTGGAGACAACTCTACCAGAGCCCCTTTCTCACACTCTGTTACTAATTATTTAAATATGGATACAAGTGTCTTTTCCTGAGGCATTTAAAAAAATATCGAGCACCTACTATACCCACTTGCTGAGCACTGTGGGGCAGAAGAGAGGCCAGTGGACAGGCACACAGGTTCCTAGCCCATGGGCCATGGAGGTGGTGCAAGGAGTATGGAATCCATATGCAACTCTTAAATAAGCAAACATATCTTCTGTATAATGAATAAATGGCATTTTCATGTACAAATATGTTAATTTTTCAAATATATATAGATGGTATTATTTGTTTCCTCCTTACCTCACTCCTTTTTTTTTGTTTTTGTTTTTGCTAGGCAACAGGGTTAAGTGACTTGCCCAGGGTCACACAGCTAGTAAGTGTCATATGTCCGAGGCCAGATTTGAACTCAGGTCCTCCTGACTCCAGGATGGGTGCTCCATCCACTGGGCCATCTAGCTGCCCCCCACACTCCCTTGTAATCCTTAGCCTTCTTCTAAGCTCACCTTGAGCACTACCATCTACACGAAGCCTCTTTGGACTCCCCGGCTGCTCGTGCCTCCTCATCACTTTACCAGAATTGTACTTCTTTATGTAAGAAGCACAGAGCTTCTCAGACAACATCTCCTCATGCAGGAGAGCCCGGGGTCTGCCTCCAAGGGAGTTATGGAAAGACCTCGGAGGGACTTGAAAATATGGAGGCCTTTGGTAACTGGTTCTGGACCGCTAAATACATGACTAGGAGAAGCCTTTTTGATTAGTTAGGTAGTGAAAACTGGGATTGACTTCAAAAGCCATCGCGAGCAAAACCTCCGTTATTCGTTCCGTCTGGCTGTTCTGTCTTTGGTTTGACTCCTTGATGTCTGGTGAGATAGAGTGATGGATGGGAAGAGGCCATCCCCAGCGATGGAAGGGAAGTTGAGCCCTCCCCACTGATGCCAAAAGATGGTCCCATTAAATGAGCCTTGGTCCTTACCCTTTGTGTTTGTTCTGTTTTTTTTTAAATTTATTCATTCATTCATTTGTTTATTTATTTATTTACTTGTTTATTTAATTAATTAAATTTTTGGGGGGTTAGGCAATGGGGTTAAGTGACTTGCCCAGGGTCACACAGCAAATAATTATCTAAGTCTGGATTTGAACTCAGGTCTTCTTGACTCCAGGCCAACCGTTCTGTCCCCTGCACCAATTAGTTGCCCTTCTAAAACTATCAGACTATATCAATAGCACCTTTAAACTTTTAAAAACATATTCAGGATCTGTGGGTCTCCCAGATCCTAACAAAGTACATTATACACAATAGATGCTTAATAAATGTTGGATTACCCTGTGCTGATTGGGGGAGAGAAGCATAGTGCTTGCCTTGGCTTGGTAGCCAACTGTTACTTGAATTCATTTTCAAAATGCTTTTATTTAAATCACTTTCATTTGTGATTTATTTCATGTGCTTAGTGAGCATTCCCTTGAAACAAAAGAAAAAAGAAAAAAAAAGAAAAAAGCAGCTCAGTAAAATTAATTTATTAAGCAAAAATTATGTATATATATGAATATTTTGAAACCCATAGGCCCCTCACTTTGAAATGAAAGGAGGGAAGTCCATTTTCTCAACTCTTCTCCAATGCTAAATTTCTTAGTCTTTATAATTATAGTGTTGGGTTTTTTTTCTCCCTTTCCTTTCCTTTCTTTTTCTTTCTTTCATTCTCTCCCTCTTTTCTTTCCACTTAAGTTGCTGTAATCATTGTGTATATTGACTTCCTGGTTCTGCATCAGTTCATAGAAGTCTTTCCATGCTTCTCTGGATTCTTCACATTTGTTATTTCTTACACCATAGGTTCTTACACCATCAGGTTCACATGCAACAACTTGTTTAGCTATTCCCCAAACGATGGACATCTGCTTTTTTTCCATTTCTTTGCTATAACAAAAAGTGCTGCCATGAATATTTTGCTACATATGGGACCTTTCTATCTAAGGCCTCTGGAATGTCTCATAGATCCCACCAACTCCTGTTGCAGGCCCACAGGCCCTGCTTTCCTACTCTTGTGCTCAAGCAAGTCTTGCTGCCCTCCCCTGCAATGGGGCCTGGTTATCTCTTGGGGGTTCTTAAAGCATCTGCTATCAGCACCTTTCCCCTTCTCTTTCCCCAAGAAGATGTTCTCAGATATAAAGCTGGATAGGATCTTGGGTCCTACACCCTCATTTTACGGGTGAGGTGACCAAGGCTCACAGAGCTTCAACCACTTGCCATCCCTGGGTTACTTTTAAAGCAAGGGTCTTAGCTTCCCCAATTTTTCATGCTTTGGGAACAATTCTACCACAGCTCAGTTGTGGGGCCATTCACTTTGGTATATATGTCCTGACTTCAATAACCACCTAAGTACACAGATAATGTGTTTTAGGAATTTGTTTCTCAGGCCCCAAGATGGTTTCTCCCAAGACATGGGCCAGACTAGAACCATGTTTGTGCTTTTTGAGGAAAGAGGAAGTTCAAGTTTTGCCCTCACTCCCACCTTCCGTGTCTCTTATTCCCTGCCATTTTCCTAAATAGAGTGCCTTAAGTTTTTAGTGTATTAATATTTAGTCAAGGCTCCAACAGAGCCAAGAAATAATCTTTGTAAAGCACTTAGACCTACTATGTGCCAGGCATTGTGCTATCTAAATGCTTATCCCCCCTCCCTTCCTCCCTCTCTCCCTCCTCTTCAAACGAGCCTCCCTGGGTTGACTAGGATTCCCAAAGACATGGCTGACCAGCCTGTACTCAGGCGTTGCACAGCGTATGGTTAGATGTCAGAATCCCATTGTTGGAAGGTGGATCAGAGGTCATCTAGTTCAATCCACACCTGTCCTCTACAATAAATAGCCCCAAGGGGTCATCTAGATATCACTAGAAGACTTGTGGTGCTTCCAGTTTCAGTGTTTTAGTGTGTGCCATTTCCCTGTGGTGGGAGTAGCCCCCACTTCCCTCTCCCCACACCAACGTTCACCATTTTGGTCCTTCGAAGTTCAGCTCATAAGGCTGTATCTTCCTTGAAGCTGCAAACCAGATGGAATCCCTCTTTCCTTCTAATGTTGTGACTGTTATGAGCTTGTATGTTCCAGACTATTATATTCTTCATTCCTTGTGACATCCTTGAGGGAGGCAGGGCCTACCTAAAATGAAGAAGTTCTTTTCATTTTGGAGTTGAGGAAATTCAGAGAAGTTAATTGACTTCTCAGTGTTAAGAATGTATCAGAGGCAGGACTGAAACTCTTGGCATTAACATCATGACTTGACAAGTTTTAACACTATAATAAATTATTCTAATCTCATACAAGGGGCATTCTTATATGTTTGTGTCATATGTTATATGAATGGGAATCATTTTTTTTGAAGTTTAGGCACAATATAATATAGCATTGAGACATATGAAATAATTTCTAAAAGTCTTTTGCTTTTGTTATAAACTTCCTTTTCCCAATGTGAACATTTTAGTTCTTGCTTTAAAAAAACCATGACAACTCTCTTTGCTTGCTAGATTTATTGAACTCTTACATGCTAGACACTATACTATACAAATACAAGCAAACGATTCAGTTCCTCCTCTCAAGGAGCTTACATCCTAATGCAGGAATACAACACATAAAGGGGGGCTGGGGGGGATTTGGGCAATCAAGCTGGGGTGAGGCTGCTAAGCAGGTGGGGCAGGTGGGAGAGAGAGCTGAACATGAAGCAAGCACAAGCCTGGTTGGGGCTCTTCAGGAAATGGGGATCCTGGCCAGGAACTCACCAGTGAGCTGCAAAGGCCCCATAGTGCTGTCAACTGTATGCTTATCAACTGCAGTTTTTTTCTAAAGAACTAAGTTTTACTGAACGTTTCAATTATTCTTTGAATATCCATTACAGTCACATGCCATCGTTCTCTGAACCATCTCCCTGCTTTTGTTTTCTTTCTTGGGATGACTTTGTTCTTTCAGAGCTGAAGACGAAGATGGCAGCCAGACTATGTAGACCTCCCTAGTATACTTCGGGGGTATTCAAATCAATCTCAGAACTGCAAGTGCTACAGAAGAATTAAGAGTAAATTTTGATTCTCCTGCGGAGGCTGTCGACCCTGGAAGTGGAGGAGTGATAGGGAGCCAAATCCCTAACTACTTTGTATAGATTTGTACTGAAGCACTTTATACAGTCTACAGTCATATCTATCTTTGTCTAACAAGTTGGGATGATTCATTTTTTGTCTTGGTATCGTCAATACTTAGCACTGTGCTTGGCACATAGTAGGAGCTTGATAAATAAATACTTGTGGCATTTTAGGGTCCTTGACAGGCTGGCTTCCACCTCTCTGTCTAGCCTTCATACCACCTTCTCCCATGAAGTCTACCCCCACATAAACTAGACAACCAGCTGCCCCTCACTCTCCTCTTCCATTTGCCAAGGCTCTTTTCTCTACCTACAACTCATTTCCTCCACATTTCTTCTTTCTGAAATCCTCTCTATGACCCAGCTCAGTAACCCCCTCCTTTGTGAAGGCTTCCCTGATCCTTCCCCAGCTGAGACTTCTTCCTTCTCAAATTTCTTATGGCACATTGTCTTAGACCAGGGGATCTTAACCTGGGCACCCTCCTTAAATTTCTTATGGCACATTGTCTTACATTAAGGGTTCTTAAACTGGGCATCCATGTATTTGTTTGTTTTTGATAACTGTATTCCAATTGGGTTTCCTTGGTAATCCTATGTATTTTGTTTTATTATTTTAAAAATCTTATTCTGAGAAGGGGTCCATTTCACCAGCCTGCCAAAGGGGCCCATGTCCCCAAAAAGGATAAGAGACCCTGGTCTTAGGTTTTCCCTTGGCTTTTATCCCTTCCTTCCTTTTTATCACTTTCTAACCAGTATCATTCTTCTTTGTCCCTTCTCAAACACACTGAGTATCCCTTGAGGGCAGGGAATGACATTGTCTCACTAGTTTGGTTTCCTGGGCCTTGTCTAGCCTAGGTGCTTAGTAATTGTTAATGGCACATATCAATACCAACTGACCGTAAATCCTCATTAAATTAAGATTTATGGTTTGTGATAAACATACTACTGGTGTCACTGGAGCTCCAGTGAGAGAGCAAGAAAGACTCAGGCCTAAGGTCAATCCCAAGGTCAGCCTTCTCTATTCTGTCTAGGATACCCCAAGGAGAAATGCTCACCAGAGGCAAAGCCTCTTCCTGGCATCTGTCCCCTGAGCCCAAGGAACAGATCGATCTGAACATCAGCTCCAGCAAGAACACTGCTTTCTTTCTCCCTGGGATTTCTAGACATCTAGCAGAGTGTCTCAGCTGAGTCAGAAGCACAAATCCACTTGCCAGGGGCCTAGTGACATGAGCATGCCCTGCCTGAAGAGATCTTTAAAGCATGAATCAATCAGATGGTGTCTAGCATTGGTTTCTTTCCTAGATAGGAATTTAAAAAAAAATAACAACAACAGGACAAAACTGCTCCCCCAGAACTCAGTGGCCTTTTCGAGGCCTGGGATTCCGAAGGGCTGACAACAGCACGAGGAACATTCGCTTTCGGGTCTGCCCCTACTGGTTCTTCTTTTCCTCGAGCTCCTCGTCGGCCGACGAGCTTATGTGCATCAGCGCCAGTCCATAGAGGATCAGGACGACCCCGGCCCACCACATCACCGCACAGTATTCTCCATACAACAGGTAACCCAGGAAGGCCTGAAGGGGCAGAGGACACAGAGGAGGGAAAATGTGAATGGAAAACACTTTGATTACTGGGCAGCCCAAATTGGTCTCAGTGCAGATGATTCCTTGTGAATCATGGAAATGGGCTTTGTTAACCCAAGGTGATTTCATATCCCGGGAGCCCTGAGGCTCCATCTTCCATCCCCAGTCTTTTCTGTTCTAACTCACCAGAAGACTCTTTGGGCAAACAGTACGCCCTCTCCTCGCTACTCACCACAGGCTGAGGCCTAGGAAACAGAAGATGCATGTTGCTTTATATGCAGCCCATAGTTGGCAAAGGTTTGCTTAGGTATTGGGTGTGATGCCAGGTAGCACTGGGAAATGGGGACACAGGATCACGGATCTAGAGCCCAAAGGGACTTCAGGTATTACTTAGTCTCACTGTTTCATTTTACAGATTAAGAGACTGAGGTCCAAGAAAAACTAAGTGACTCGCCCACAGTCACACAAGTAGTTAGTGGCGGAGCTGAGATTCAAACCCAGGTGCCGGGCCCTTTGTACTGCATGTGTGATTAAAGTTACTACCATAACTGCCTCAGTTTCCTCCTCTGCACCTTCAGTTTCATTCTGTCCCACTGAGAAGGAGCGATGGGTCAAACATGTGGTCAGTACTAGCACTTTCATACATGCTCCCAAGTCTCAGAAGCAGAATTCCCAATGATGCAGCTGTGTTCTCTGCCAGACCGTGCAATCAATGAAATGATTTAGCCACAATTTCATTCTATTTTTCAGGCCCCCTTGTGGGCAGCTGTGCTAACTGCTCCATCAGACCCTCTGGGCTCTCAAAGACCTGCTGGTTCTCCCAAGCTGGAAAGGAAGGTCACGTGAGCTCCCATCCAAGGACCAGCCTCACTAGGTCTGCAGAGCCTCTGCTCTGCTCTCATGTTAGTCACACAAACACCTCATCATGTGAGTAAGGCCTAAATGTAGCTGGCCACAAGACCAGGGTTTGTTTTCATAACAGTTCAAGCCAAGTCAAGAGGCATTTCTTGAGCACCTACTCCATGGTGCTAAGCACTTGGGATCCAAAGAAAGGCAAAACAAAACAAATGACCCCAAAACACCATTAGTCCCTGTTCTCAAGGAGCTCATGGAACAGCCTGCTAAAGGGAATAGGACTTAAGATATGCCTCAGTGGGCAGTATGCCCGCATTGATGGGTAGAAATCAGCAATCCTCAGGAAGTTGTAAAACCTTGTAAGTCTGATTGGATCTCAACAACCACGTATCATTTCTTTTTTTTCTTAATCCAAATCTGTGATTCCATTGGTATGGGAAAGTCTCAGTCTAGAAACTTCCTCTCCTGATGCTGAAACTGAGGTTAAATGATTTGCCCATGGTCACACAGCTAGTCCTACGACAAAGGGCAGGACCCGAATTTGCGATCTCCTACCAGCCCCTTCCCTTCCTTTCTCTTCTCTAGGTCTCCCTTGCTTCATAAAATGAGGAGGCTGGACTAAATGACCCTTACCATTCCTTCCACGTCTAAATACTTCCTGGCTCCAGGACTGGCCCTCTCGTTACCCCACGCCACCTCCTTGTTTTATATTTTATAGACCAAGAAATGGAGCTCAAGGAAATTAAGGGCATTGTACAGGCCCCACTCCATAGGTTCTGGTCACTTACTGAGGCAATGATGTTAGAAGCGGTCATTGTCAGCGACGCCGTGGCAGAAGATGAAGAAATACTTAGCGCTTTGGAAAAGAAGGCCCACATAAGGGAGTTGCTGACAATCATCAAGGAAAAGGCCATCAGCCGGAACATCAGGGTCAACTGCAGAGGAATGAAAGACAAAAGATGCCCAAAAGGTTCACTTCAAGGGGCAGAACGTGACAGGTGTTTTTAGAACATTTTCACCAATGAGACACTGATGTAAAATAAGGGGGTCTCTGAAGTCCCTCGTTCTGAGTGCCAGGGCCCTAAGAATGGGCACTTCTATTCAGACACTTACACGAGGTCCAGAGAACTCTTAGGTATCCAGCAGGACAGGATAGGCAAGATACACCACTGGGAAGCAAGGTATTAGTGCCCAGCCTCAGGGAGCTGAAGGCCTCGTGGGAGAATATGGCACAGACACAATACTATCACACAAATCAGAACTGCAAATGAGACAGTATAAGTATGTTGTTTCGAAAACCTTAAATGGCTATGTAAATATCCATAGTTATTATTCTACTGGTGGCAGGGACTACATCCCTTCCAAGTTTTCCTCAAGTCAGCCTGTTCATCATTTCTTAGAGCACAATAGTATTCCATTCCATTCATATACCACAACTTGTTCGGCCATTCCCCAATGGATGGGCATCCTCTCAATTGCCAATTCTTTTCCATGACAAAAAGAGCTGCTATATAAATATTTTTGTACATGTGGGTCCTTTTCCCATTTGTATGATCTTTTTGGGATATAGCCCTAGAAGTGCTATTGCTGGGTCAATACCATGATTCTACTGCAGAATCTTTGATCTTGGGAGGGAATGTAGTAAGGAGGAGCTGACATTCTATCTCAGACACAAGATTCTGCAGTAATTTGCATGGAGAAAGTCACCTTTCCTTCCGCAAACCTCTCCCCCACAAAAGTCCAGTTTTTCTGCTAGGAAGGGTTCAGAGTGATATGACTCCCACTCTCAACCATACTCCAAGGGGGAAATACGGAGGGATCGCCCCTCTACCCAGTCAGTTCTCCGAGGAAGCACTAGAGGGGCGTCAGCTCGGCTTCCTCCCCAGAAGCAATTCTGCTGGGAGGCTGGGTGGGGGGTGGTAGGGGTGGTGGTGGGGGCGGGCGGTTCCGTAGAGGGATCCGCCCAACCCCCATACAATTCTGCTAGGGCTTCAGACGTAGTCCCAGTTCTACTTGGATGCGGGCATGTACTGCAGAGGGCTCAGTCCCCGCCCCCTCCCCATCCAGCAATTCCATTCCGAAGGAGTGACGCAAAAGGGTTCGCCCCCGCCTCTTTTTCAGCGCAAAGAGTGATGCAAAAGGGTTCGCCCCCGCCTCTTCCTCAGCCGCAGACTCTGGGTCCGCTCCTATAGAGGGGTCCGATCCAGCCCCCTCTCCACCTTACAATCCCACTCCAACTGGGAGCTACAAAAGGGTTCGCCCCCGCCTCTTCCGCAGCCGCAGACTCTGGGTCCGCTCCTATAGAGGGGTCCGATCCAGCCCCCTCTCCACCTCACAATCCCACTGCAACTGGGAGCTACAAAAGGGTTCGCCCCCGCCTCTTCTTCAGCCGCAGAGGGTCCGCTCCTACAGAAGGGTCTGAGATCCAGCCCCCTCTCCACTTCACAAACCTGCTCCAATTTGGAACTACAAAAGGGTTAGCCCCTTCGCTCTAAAGGGGTTCGCCCCTGCCTCTTTTTCAGCCGCGGACCCCTCTTGTCTGACAACCTTGCGCCATAAGCCATCTGCTCTCCTCCCCCCTTCCCCCTCCCCTCCTGGGCAGCACCCTGGACAGCGGGAGCCCTTGCTCCCCACAGCCCAGCACTTCTAGGCGCCCACCCACCTCCCCGCCCTGCCTGCCTGCTGGCCCGGCTCTGGCTCTTACCCAGGCCTGCATGGCGGGCGGATAAGGGAGCCCCTGCTCCTCTTCCTCCGGGCCCCGGGACGTCGTCGGCTTCAGGGCCAGCTTGGCAAAGGCGGCCGCGAAGGCGCCCAAGCCTCCGGCCGCGATGGAGCAGAAGGCCGAGCCCCAGCGGAGCCGAGCCAGGGCACTGGGCCCCAGAATCGCCGCCATCGCCGCCGGCACGGGCACCGGGAGCGGGAGCGGGAGCGGGAGCGCCAGGGGGCCCGTTCCAGAGCCGGAGCTGGGAGCCGAGGCCAAGCCAGAGCCTTTGCCAGGGTCCCTCCAGGTGCTCCGCCTTCTGCGGCAAGCACGCCCCCGCGCCGCCATAGGCTGCCTGCTTCACGCGACTCCTGCTGCACAGTGAGGAGATCTGGTGAGCTCACCCTAACTAGGAGCCGGGGCTCCTCCTCCTTCCCTGCTCCGCCTACGCCCCGCCCCTGCGGCTCTGGGCCTGGGTGGAGGAGGAGGAGGAGCGAGGCTGCTCTTGTGGGCATCTCTGAGCATCTTGGGGATGCAGGAGGCGAGGCAGCCTAAGGGCTGGACCCAGGACCACTGACCTAGGGCTGGGGGGCTTAGGGTTCGTCTGGTCCAGTTCTCCTTCTGCCCAATGGGTTCCACTGACACTTTTTCTTTTGTCACAATTATTTTCTAAACCCCCCCTTTCTCCCTCTCCTCCATAACCAGGAAAGCTTTGCTGCTGACGCAGATTAAAAACAATCGCCATTTCTAGAAAAGCAACACTTCCTTGGCTCCTGGCCTAGAAGAAAGCAGGGAAGTACATCTTTCTTTTCCCCTCGGCCAAACATCACCATTATAATTACAAGGCTTTCAGGTTCCTTTCCTAACTTGGATTTTACATGGCTGTAATTATTCTATTCCCCCCCCCCCAGTTTTGCTTAATTCATTCCTCATCGATCACATATCTGCCTTTGTTTCTTTAACACTTCATCTTCTTTATTTCGTATAGCACAGTAATGTAGGTGTACAATACGATTAGCCCTTTTCTCATTAGTGCAATCTCCTTCATCCCTAAGCAAGAAACCTAAACTCAGACTAGGGAAGTGACTCATCAAAGGTTGTTCACTTAGCAAATTAGCCACTTTCCAATGGTGCAATGCAGGACTTCCTTCAGGTGTTAATTCTACCACAAAGGCTTTTCTGTTCAACATGGCTAAAAGTGAAGGTCATTAAAAAGGGTCATTAAACATTATATTCTCTCTCTCTCTCTCTTTCTCTCTCTCTCTCTCTCTCTCTCTCTCTCTCTCTCTCTCTCTCTCTCTCTCATACACACACACACACACATACACACACACACACACAGAGGCTGTGCTCCAGCCTACTTCCTATTCCCCACAAATGAGTTTGCATGCATTTCCACAGGCTAATGCCAATGACTGAATGTATTCCCTATTTGCATCTTAGAATGCATTTCTCCCTTAAAAGCTTAATTCAAGCACCAGCTCTTCCACAAGGCCTTTCTGGATTTCCCACAAGCTTTTAATCCTTCTGACACCTTACTTTGGCTCAGAGTAGGGTATTAATAAATTTTTGTTGCGTATATGAATGAATACTTTCGAGTGAATAAATGAAGAATTGGCCTGCCACTTTTGACAACTTGCCGACCCTTGTTGTGGAATATTGTGAAAATACGAAAGAGAAAACAGGATTAGAACAAAATCTACATCAGTGACTAGATAAACATTTATTAAGTGCTCACTATGTGACAAACTTTGGGTATCCCAAGACACAGATAGAAGTCTCTGACCTTAAGGGACCTCCCATTCCAAAGGGGAAGGTCACACATATGAAGTATCGTTATAGATTTAGAGCTAGAAAGGACTTTGGAGGAAACTGAATTCAATTTCCCCACTGTATAGAGGAGGAAATTGAGGCATAGAGTAGTTAAGACTCACATAGAGTCACATAGTGGTTGAGGTAGGATTGAAACTCAGGACTTTTTGATCCCAAATCTAGCCCTCAACAAACTCTGCAACTTCATAGCAACAACAACAAAAAGAAATGTGCTGTCCTCTGAAATCATATCTCTACCTCTCCCACACCAATTTAAGGATTTGGGTTTCCAAAGTATGAAAACAGCCACCCAAACCTATAGCCCTATGAAAAACAAACAACTCGGGTCACAGGAAAATCAGAAACTGGCAAAAGCCTCAATTAGAGGCTGCTGCCCTTCTATTCTAGGATTTAAATGATTCGGCATCAACAGTTACCTCCTGCTGCCCTGTGGAGAAGGGGCAGGACAGGTTTGGGAGAGGGCCAGTGGTAGGCAAAGGATCTTTGATTGCCAGTTACCACAAAACAGGGAAGAACACTACATGAGCACCTTTTTTGCTTTTTCTTCATCCTTCCTCTGACTCTTCATTCCCATTCTTCTTAATCCCAATCACTTCCCTACTCAGCAAACGCTAGTGGCTCCCAATCATCTAAAGGACCTAATAGAAAATCCTATTTGGCAGTCCAAGCTCTTCATTAGCTACCCTTTCCCTACTTTTCCAGTCTTCTCACACTTTACCTGCTCCCACATATTTTATGCAATGACATTGGCCTCATTGCTTTTCCGTACCACAGGCTATTCCACATCTAGACATTTTCACTGACTTGTCCCCATTTCTTTCTTTCTTTCTTTCTTTCTTTCTTTCTTTCTTTCTTTCTTTCTTTTTTCTTTCTTTCTTTCTTTCTTTCTTTCTTTCTTTCTTTCTTTCTTCTTTCTTTCTTTCTTTCTTTTCTCTCTCTCTCTCTCTCCCTCCCCCCTCTCTCTCTCCTCTCTCTCTCTCTCTCTCTCTCTCTCTCTCTCTCTCTCTCTCTCCCTCCCTCTCTCTCTCTCTCTCTCTCTCTCCCCCCTCTTTCTGTGTTTCTGTTTCCTCTCCTCCCCTTTCTTTGTCACCTAGCTTCCCTAAAATCCCAGCTAAAGTCCTACCTTATATAGGAAGGTTTTGCCAATCATCTTTAATTCTAGAGCCTTCCCACAGTTTATTATATCCAATTTGTCCTGTACATATCTTTTTGTTTTGTTTTGTTTTAGCTAGGCAATGGGCTTAAGTGACTTGCCCAGGTTCACACAGCTAGTAAGTATTACGTGTCTGAGGCCGCATTTGAACTCAGCTCCTCCTGAATCCACTGCGCCACCTAGCTGCCTCCTGTACTCATCTTTTTTGCATTGTTGTTTGCATGTTATCTCCCCCATTAAGAGCAAAGACTGTCTTTTAACTTATTCATTAACCGCCTACTAATGTGCCAGGCATTGTACTGAGTGCTGGGGATACAAAAGATGTTTGACTGACAGTTTCAGTAGATCCATGGAAACAAAGAAGAAGCAATAAAACCTGGGAACCCAGTATGAAATCCTGCTGGAGTAGAACTCTCCATTGGGAAGAAATCCTTCAGGATGTTCCTTGGCTCAAACAGACCCCCTTCCTGTTCCCCATCTCTATATCTTCAAGTTCATGCAACTGGTGTCTAAGTTAGAAAAGTCTGCAGACAGCATCCAATTTAACACAACTTAATAATGATTGTCTAACAGAACAAAGAACTCCTTGACAAGAAATCTTTCAGCCTTTTTTTTTTTTTGGAAAAGTTATAGAGATGAAGAATTACATAACGTCTGGGGTAATCTGCTCTACCTTGGGAAAGATCTGTTTGAAAATTTTTCCTTTTATCCAGATAAAATCTTTTTTTTTTAACCATCTATCCAGTGAGTCCAGAGAGTTCTGCTCTCTGAGGACAAATACAAATAAAAGCAGTCTAATCTCTCCTCTACTTGACATCCCCTCAGATGTTCCAAGCTAAATATTTCCCTTTCCTTAATCAGATTCTCATCTGATTGCTAGTGCCCCCATCCTGGTTGAGCCTTGGATTCCCTCCAGACTGTCGATGGTTTTTCCTAAAATATGGCCACCACTATAGTGCAGAGGCGTCTAAGATCCCTTCCTTCAGGACCTAACCGAGGATGGCAGGCACTACACCAAGCTGTCCTTATTCCCTTCTGTCATTTCCGTGGTTCTCCCCACCCCCAGTGCTGCTCCTACTGCGGCTTTTGCAGAGGGTGACATCCTCGCCACCGCTGCTCCCACCCCATCCCAGTGAGTTCTGCTCTGAGGGGGCGCTGCCGAGTCTCCTTTACTCCAGTTCCACTCCAAGGGGAAGCAGCAGAGGGGTCCACTCTCCTACCCGCTCAGTCCTCCGAGGGAGCACTGAAGAGGGTTCCTCCCCCCACACCCATCCCACTCTTGCAGTTCTGCTTGGAGGGCTTCCTCCCTGCTCACTCCCTGCAGTCCCACTCTGAGGTGGCGCTGTAGAGGGCTCTCCCTCCCTAGACTCCTTATACCATAAGCCATCTGCTCTGCAGGGGGAACCTCCGCCTTCCCCTCCCAGGCAGCACCCTGGACAGCGGGTGCCCGCGCTCCCCGCACAGCCCAGCACTTCCAGGCGCTCACCCGCCCGCTGGCTCGGCTCCGGCTCTTACCCAGGCCTGCATGGCGGGCGGGTAAGGGAGCCCCTGCTCCTCCTCCTCCGGGCCCCGGGACGTCGTCGGCTTCAGGGCCAGCTTGGCAAAGGCGGCCGCGAAGGCGCCCAAGCCTCCGGCTGCGATGGAGCAGAAGGCCGAGCCCCAGCGGAGCCGAGCCAGGGCGCTGGGCCCCAGAATCGCCGCCATTGCCGCTGGCACGGGCACCGGGAGCGGGAGCGCCAGGGGGCCTGTGCCAGAGCCGGAGCTGGGAGCCGAGGCCAAGCCAGAGCCTTTGCCCGGGTCCCTGCCGGTGCTCTGCCTTCTGCGGCAAGCACACCCCCGCGCCGCCATAGGCTGCCTGCTTCACGTGACTCCTGCTGCACAGTGAGGCGCTCTGGTGAGCTCACTCTCCTAGGAGCCGGGGCTCCTCCTCCTTCCCCGCCCCGTCTCGCCCCACCCCTTAATGGGAAGCTTTCCTCTGGTGAGGAGCTTGGCCCAATACAAGGCTCCTCCCACAAACCCTGAAGCACCGCATCCATCCATGGGAAAGTGATCTCCTGCCTTGGGGCACTGGGAAAAGCAAGGGTTTTGGCACCCCAGGCTGGGTAACCTTGGGATAAACCCTTACTCTCGGCCTCTCAGTATTCCCACATTTGAGGAGTGAGACCCGATAATTTCCAAGGTTCTTTGCAGCTCTAGTTTCTATGATTCTCAAAATGCCTTATAAGAGTTTGTCTGGACCTCTCCTTTGCCCCGTTATGTTGTCATCTCCAGGATTTGGGAGTTCCAAAGAAGAGAGTTGCAATTTTGTTCCTGCCCTCATCATGCTTGTAATCATTAGTGAAGGTAAGGGGATGCAAGATGTAAACACGTAGGCAACTCTCATACAGGCAGAAT